AAGTGAGAGGGGAGGCTGCAGCTGGGCAAGGGCAGGGGATGCCCGCCGGGGCCTGCCGGGCTCGCGGGGCCACCCCCACACAGGGAGCGGGGGCTTCACTCAGATTTCCCCTGGGAGCTTCCAGCACGGAGGAGCCGCCATGGCATGTAGCTCTGGTGGGATGTCTGCCCCTCATGGGCAGGACCGCGGCACCGGGTGCTGTCCCCCTGCTCCCCTTGGTGGCTCGCTGTTGCCGAAGCCCTCCCACCAGGGCCTGGCAAGAGCTGAAGCGCCCGCTGGTGCAAGACCCGGCAGGGTGCCACATGGCCCTGCTGTGCCGGGGGCTCTCGAGAGGCCGCGGTGCTGGTAGCCGGTGCTGCTGGTCGGTCCAGCACCTGGTGCGGTGCTGCCGGAGGAAGCGGCCAACACACGTGACAGAGCTGCAGCCTCGCGCTGCCTCGACCGCAGACACCTTGCTGCGCGGGCTGGGCTGGGAGCTGCGCGCCTGGCACCGCGGCCGTCCCCCCGCCCCGGCAGGAAGCGGCAGGGGGGCCCCCCCGCCGGCGGGGGGGGGGGGGGGGAGCCGCTGTCCCCGGCAGAGCCCCACGGGTCCCACCAGCACCCTGGCTTGCACCCATGCTGACCCCGGGGGTCTGCGCATCCCAGCCGCCCGTCCCACCGTGCTGCAAGCCAGGGTGGGAGCAGGGCGCGGGACACGGCCAGGACCACACACTGGTGGTGGCCACGGTGGCCGGCAGTGGCAGGGACTGACTGCTGGCAGTGCTGCCCCCAGGCCCCACAGGGCTCTGCCCCCCGACACCAGTGCTCCCCGCTCAGCATCCCATGGGCAGCCCGGGCTCGGCCAGCGCTGGGTGTGCAGGGACACCCATGGGTGCCGAGGGCGGCCGGGCACCGCCAACGCTCACCTTCCTGTGTCCTGACTCCTTCTCGCCAGCGTTGGAGGGCTTGCGGCGCAGCATGGTACTGGGGCCCGGTGGCAAGGGTGCAGTGTTGGGGCAGCGCCTGGCACGGCACGTACCGAAGCACCGGCACCGAGGCCGGGAAGCGCACAGGAAGCCGGCAGTCACATGAGAGGTGCTTGCAGCGGCGCGGCTCAGGGTGGCTGGCGGGTGCGCAGGCTGGGACAGGAGGAAGGAAACCCTCCACGAAGCCGCGGCCCTGCCCAGGGCCCCCGGGGCGGGGATGCCTGCCCGCGCCCTGCCACCCCTTGGCGATGCTGCTGGTGGGCACTGTGTCCCCCCCATGCAGAGGATGAAGGTCCCCAACCCCTCCGCCGTGTCCGCTCGGGATGTCCCTTGTGTCCCTTGCATCCGCGGGTCCTCCTAGCTGGGCTCAAGCCCAGGTGGGACCTGCACATTGGCACCCTGCCACTGGCACCCACGGGGCAGCGGGGATGGCCCCAGTCGGGCCGGCTCCCCTGCACCCTCTTGCTCCGGTTCCCCCATCTCTGCTCCCAAGAATTAAAATCCGCCCTGAATCTCTGTCTCCTCGCCGCAGGTGCTGATTTGGCCACCCCAGGGCAGGGAAGCCAGCATGGGCTGGGTGGCATGTGTGGGGCCGGGGGCCACGTGGGGCTGGACCCCAGCCCCACACCAGCCAGCGAGGCGGCGGGCAGGCTGGCAGCGCACCGGGCTGCCGTGGCAGGGCACAGCAGTGCACAGGCACCCTCCATGTTGCTCATGTTTAATCACAAACGAGCAAATAGAAAAAAAAAAAGGAAGTGAGCGGTGGAGAGAAGAAACAGCCGCGGCAGGGAGGGGGCTGGCGTGGGGCCGGCTGGCGCAGGGTCAGGCCTGCAGCCCGCTGAGCAGCGCAGAGACGAGGGAGGCGAGGGCCAGCACGCCCAGGGTGGCGGTGGCGGCGGTGGCGGCGCTGCCCAGCGGGAAGGGCTCGGTGTTCCTCTGCAGCCAGCGGTACGCCTCCTCCAGCTGCTGCCGCCGCAGGGCTGGGCCCCCCCGCGGC